GACTTGTACGTAAGTTGTGTCAACGCAACAGGTTTCATTCACACTTTTTTGTACTTTAAAGCTTTGTCGCAGACTACGAAAAGAAGTATCCGTTGGTTAACGACCTTCAGCGTCTGAAAAGGCCGGACAGCGTTGGTCGGTATGCGCAGAAAATTGTCCCATATCGTCGCGTCATTTGCATTTCCATTTTCTTTTACAAGGTATGCGGAAAACCTTCAGTCTCTCTTCGACCTGTACCCCAAGGCGACTTCGAATGATCTGATACAAAATGGTGAGTGGTCCACACCCACGAAATTAAGTACCTTGGTGAGTGACACATTGATTCCTTCTTATAATATTATCGTAATCCTCATCGAATTTATTTGTTCGCTTTTAATACACATATTAATGTACGTATGTCGTTTTGTCTTCTGCCATCCGATCACTCCCACAAATTCATGCGATAGTTGCAACGTTCGTTTTTTTTGTAATTGTCCGGGTACCGTTTAAGCCGATCATGACCCATAGTAATCTAGCACCTTCAGGACATAGACTAAAGCAGCACCATTTTGTTTAGTGCATTGCCGTAGTTAATCTATATGATATGCTGTTTCACTTCACTTTCCGAGGCCCCTTCTTCTTTCGGATTCCAAATACAGACGCGTCAGTTCTTCCAACGCTCCGGATCCTGTGCCAACGTTTGAGCTTCGTCAGAAGACAACTGTAATCTGGAGCAGATTCCTTATATTTGCACCATTTTAAACATTGGCCGTCCCCTGGGCCTTCTGCCGGTCAGCTGGACAAAAAAAAGTTGCTTCGCCGTCCGTTCTGTAGGCATTCGCAACACTTGCCCAAACCATCATACTTGTGACTTCTCAATCTGAAGTAGCAGCGGCTGTAGACCAAGGCTCTCTCAGATTTCTGTATTCAGAACCATGTCAAGGTGCGTAAAACCAAGGACTTGTCTCAGAAAGCCCATTGTAGCCGCTTGTATCCGTGATCGAAGTGTACCAGCGAATGGTATGCTACTCATGACCTGGTAAGGGTAAGCGTGGTGATGATAATAAACCTGAACATCGCGAGTTTAGTCTTAAGATTCGGATCTGCTTCAGTGACAGTTGTTCGGGAAGGTTCACGTAGAACGCCATTGGCTACCCCAATTCGCCGATCGATCTCTTCCCATTTTTGATTGCCAGTGAGCACGACCTCAAGATACTTAAACTTCTCCACCTGCTCCAGTGCCTCCGTTAATCTCAAGTGACCAGCGTGCATGCAAACATAAGGCACTAGGTTTTTCCTTTTAGGTACGTTCACAAGTATGCCGACCGCGTCGCATTTGGCCGCAAATGTTTCCAACGAGCGCAGTTGATCAGTTTCAGAAGATGCCAAAAATAAGGTCGGCTGCATGGCAGTTTTCTCGACTTGACATCTTCTGAACTGATACGCTCATTAACCTGGCCGCGCCTGAATGTTGTATTCCTATTCAACAGAAACAGGAGAGGGGACAGAACGTTGCTTTGGTGGGCACCATTTCCAACGCTCAAAGGTCTCCATTTGACGCCATTTACTCTGAAGCATCACCTGCTATTAGCATGTTGCGATTGGCTATCGATACCATATTTTATCACGATAGAATTTCATATATTCTAGCAGCGTTCGCATTTTTCAACCTTTTCACGTCTTGCGCGATTTCATATGTAGAAATACTGATATTTTTTTCGATGCAACTCCAGGCTAGCGTTCCTTTTGTTGCTCGAGGTTAAGGAATGCTTCATTGAAGGTACTCTCTCCGTCGCAGAAGAATATCCTCATCTTCGGTAGGAGGGCTTATAGATTGTCCTTTTTTTTCACCACAGAGCTGACGCATCATGTGCCAGAATGCCTGATTTGCCGTCCGGAATTTCGACTCCAGCACTTCACCAAATTTCTGTCAGCTTTCGCATTCGTCATTGCTTTCGCTGTCTTAGCGCCCTTGTTTTTACTGCATGTCAGTTAAACCTCGTGTCCTCCAGGAAGTTCGTTTCTGATCTCCAGGCGGCGGGCCAACCCGTTTGAATCCGTAGCATTTGGTGACAGCCCTGAGTAAGCCGCTCTTAAAGTATTTCCGTTCGGTTTTCTTATCAGCGGTAATCACTAGGATTTCTTCGAACCACCGTGCGATATTGCTTACATGTCTTGCCCTGGTATCTGGGAAAATAGCATTCTCCGTTTGATTTTCTTTTTGCTTCTGCCACCAGATCTTCGCATGGTACTCCATTTCTTACAGCGTAACGTGCCAGCAACAAGGTGATGATCGGTTGATAGCTCTGCGCCTCTCTTAACGCGAACATCCATTACCGAGCGTCTTAAGTCAGATGATACAATTATCAAATCGATCATGGACTTCTTTGCACAAGCTTCCCTGTACCAGGTATTCTAATGCATGTTTCGATGCTCGAAGGTGTTCATGATGGACAGTCCGTTGTTTGCCCAATACCGCAACAAATTCACGTCGTTATTGTTGAGATGGCTATGGCCGTTTTTTTCAGTTACGCCGTCCACTTTTCAGCGTCTACTCTGAAATGCGCATGAAAATTGGCCTTGAGTATGAGGGACTCATTCGACACCGGACAG